CACAGGGAGGAACCCAGGAATGCTCCCAGGGCTGAGGGTGGGGTCAGGGTATGAGGTGGGGGTAGGAATGACGGCGTACCCGAGAGCTCCATTGGTTTTTAGAAAGAGCAGAAGGGAGAGAGGAAGGGAAAGGGAGAGAGAGAGGGGGGAACATCAATGATGAAAGAGAATCATGGATCAGCTGTCTTCTGCTCACCCCCTACTGGGGATGGAGCCCACACCCCGGGCATGTGCCCTGACTGGGAATCAAACCGTGATCTCCTGGTTCCTAGGTTGACACTCAACCACTGAGCCACAGCAGCTGGGCGGCCTCACTCACTTTCCATCTCCTCCTTCGCCTTCTGAGAGAGCACTGGCAGGTTCATCTCGAGAAAGATGTCCATGGCCATGCTCCAGACCACCAGAGCCTGGCAGTGCTCATGCAGGAGGAAGGCCAGGTGCTGTGCGTCCGCCCCAGCCACCTCCATCCATGGGAAGGAGCCCGGGACCAGCCCCGAAGTGCTTCCCATCAGCAACTCCTTGAACGTGTGGAACTCTTCCTTGTCCAGCTGCTGGAGACACCAGCGCAGTCCACAGTCAGAAAAGGGGGACACGTTGGCTTCTCCCATTGCAACGCCAGGTGGAGGGCCCCCCTGTGTAGATGGAGAAGATTTCCCTGGTTGCAGGGAGCAGATGGGACCTGGGGGTGGTGGTGGTGGGGGAGTGACAAGATTCAAAGGAGAGTTGAGCATCACATGATCACATTCACTGCCATCCCTCCCGGCCCCCTCCTCTCCCCTCCCCTCCAAGATCTGTCAGTCTATTCCATGCCTCCTGCTTCTGGCCCTGTCTTGTTGATCACTTTGTTTTGTTCCTTAGATTCCACATATGAGTGAGAATACTTGTCTTTCTCTGACTGGCTTATTTCACTTAGCACAATACTCTCCAGGCCCCTCCATGCTGTTGCAAAAGGTAAGATTTCCTTTTTTTTTTTTAAGTAAATATATTTTTATTGATTCCAGAGAGGAAGGGAGAGGGGGAGAGACAGAAACATCAATAATGAGAGAGAATCATTGACCGGCTGCCTTCTGCATGACCCCCACTGGGGATTGAGCCCACAACTTGGGCATGTGCCCTGACCGGGAATCGAACTGTGACCTCCTGGTTCATAGGTTGATACTCAACCCCTGAGCCACACCAGCCGGGTTTCTCTCTCTCTTTACAGTTGCAAAGTATTTCATTGTGTACATGTGCTACAGCTTTTTTTACCTACTCATAAACAGTTGGGCTGTTTCTAGATCTTGGATCTTGTAAAGATTGCTTCACTCTAGCCGGTTTGGCTCAGTGGATAGAGCGTCGGCCTGCAGACTGAAGGGTCCGGGTTCGATTCCAGTCAAGGGCACATGCCTGGGTTGCGGGCTCGATCCCTAGTATGTGGGGGGCAGGAGGCAGCCAATCAATGATTCTCATCATTGATCTTTCTATCTCTCTCTCCCTTTCCTTTTCTCTCTGGAATCAATAAAAACATTTTTTAAAAATGAGCAAAGGATTAAAAAAACAAACAAAAAACAACTCTACCTGGATGTGGCTTCTGTTTGTACTAGTTACAGAGTCATGAATGATAATATTGCTCAATAAGAATTCCAAGTGCCAAGTTATCAAAAGCCAAAAATAGACCACAAAATTCTGGGGGAAATATTTCGGCTTTATCGAGCTGGCAGGTGCCGAGTCCAATATGCCAGCTGGCCAGCTCCCTAATGTTTGATGACCTACTACTTTGCTTTGGGCTGAGAAATAGGTGCTTCTATGTTTTGAGTAGACGTATCAACTGGGGCCATGTCTGTGGAGGGCAGTTTGTCAAGAGCTATGCCCTCTAACTGCTAATATCGTTAGACACAGGCTTGTTTGCAATGGCAACACTGAAGGCCGTTTGGGGTTGATCAAGAACAGGTGTGCTCCAATCAGGATGAGCACGTGCACCCCTATGTTCACTGCAGCATTATTTACAAGAGCCAATCAGTAGGTGAGAACAGCCCACGTGCCCATCAGTAGGTGAGTGCATAAAGAAGCTGTGGGACATTTACACCATGGGATACTATGCAGCTGTGAAAAAGAAGGATCTTTTACCCTTTGAGACAGCATGGAGGGACCTGAAGAGTATTATGCCAAGTGAAATAAGTCAGTCAGAGAAAGACAGGTATCACACGATCTCACCCATATGTGGAACCTAATGAACAAGGTGACGAACAAAATAGGTCCAGAGGCATACTAGTAGAAGCATGGAACAGAGTGTAGAATTTCAGAGGGAAGTGGGGAGGAGGCAGGAAGAAATTAACCAAAGAACTTATATGGGTATAGGCATAGCCCATGGACACAGACAATAGTGTGGTGAAGGCCTGGGGAGGGGGCAGGAGTGGGAAGAGGGGGGCAAATGGGGAAAAATGGGGGACATCTGTAATACTCTCAACAACAGCGAGACAGGTGTGTCCATTCAAGCCCTGCATCCTCAATGCCCAACCGTCAGCACAGAACAGTGCCTCCACCTGTAAGATATTAGTGCCTCACCTCAAACACACTACTTAGGGGTGATGAACAGGACATGGATTGAGGGGGAAGGGTGAACCGAAGAACACATTTTGCTTCATACCTTCCCATAATGTTTGCTTTCTCTAAACTATGAAAAGGCATCTCCCACGAAAGCATCATTTTAGTGGAAGCTGGTAGAAATGAGTGTTTTACTAAAATGATTGAGCTGTTACTATTACCCATCTATGAGTGACAGAGACGACGGAGAGAGACGGAGAGAGACGGAGAGAGACGGAGAGGAGAAAACTACTAACAATGGACAGATGATAAAGTTTATGTGCTGGATTATTCAAAACAGAACCCTAGAAAAAAACCTAAGCTTTTCTCCACATTCCCATGTAATAGCTAGGAAAACTATCGATCCTATTGGTGGTTAGAGGGGAAAAATATGACCCCACTTATTTCTAAGAACAAGTTGAAAAGGTTACATCCTAATTCAGATTTCTTTGGTCAAAATTAAAATGATTTCCTCATTTTCCCAAACCTCTAACATAAAGGAACCTGGATACACGGAGATGGACAGTACACACACACAATCTCTCAACTGCTTGGTTGAGTGGTTAAATTAACGAGGAAGTTTATTTAAAAGAGAATGAATTTTGGGTGGTCACAAGGAAACACTTTCATACATACCCACAACTTGAAGGAAACATCTGAATTAAACATATAGCCCAGCCCTGGATTTGGCTCAGTGGATAGAGCATTGGCCTGTGGACTGAAGGGTCCCGGGTTTGATTCCCTGGTCAGGGCTGGTGCAGGAGGCAACCAATTGATGTATTTCTCTCACATCGATATTTCTGTCTTTCCCTCTCTCTTCCATTCACTCTAAAAATCAATGGAAGAATATCCTCAGGTGAGGATGAAAAAAATAAAATAAAAATCAATAAAAACATTTTTTAAAAGTCTATACGAAAAATAAATAGTGTCATTTGATACAATATGGATAGATCTTGAGAGTATCATGCTGAGTAAATAAGTCGAATGGAAAAGGACAAGAACCACATGATTTCACTCATATGTGGGCATAAAGCAAAGCAACAAACACAAAGACTCAGACACAGACAACAGCATACGAGAGGGGAAGGGGGCTGGAGGGTAAAGAGGATCAAACATACGGTGATAGGAGACTTGACTTGGGGTGGTGAGCACACAATATTCGGAGGATGCATTATGGAACTGTACACGTGAGACCTATATACTTTTATTAACCAATGTCACGCCAATAACTCTACTGCTGAATGTTACATTATTAACCAATGCTATGCCAATACATTTCATTGAAAAAGAAAAAGAATCTATAAAGGCAGAACCAGCAAAGAAACAAAAACAAATAATAAATGCATGTTCTTGCCCAACCCCTCCTCAGGTGACAGATGGTACGCCACTCACGCTTTCTGTAAACTACCTCAATGTTGAGATATTATTGTCCTCGCTTGATGGAATTGAAGGCCAAAGTTCTGACGTGGTGAGTAGCTCACTGTGTTTCAGAGAAAAGCTACTGCTACCCCTCGTGCAATACATCCCAGAAAAGGAAGTGGGGCATGAAACCCCGAAGACAGACAGACACCCACATGGGGTTAGAGCCCAGCTGGAAGGGTTGACTGGGGAGGGAAAGGGAGATGGTGTCCCAGCAAGAGGGTAGGCTAGAGGGGTGTGAGTGAAGAGGGGTGGTCAGTGCCTATGAGTTTTTTCTTTTCCTTTTGAAATTTATTTTTATTTTTATTGTTGAAAGTATTACCCCAACTTTCCTCTTTTCCCCCCTCATTGGCCCCCTCCACCCGGCTCCCGTCTCCACCCGAGGTGAGCGCTTTTGTTTTCCTTTGCTTAATCCCTCACAGACAACAGTAGGGTGATTCCCAGAGGGAAAGGGGGTTGGAGGGTAGGAAAAGATTAAGGGGGGATTATGGTGATGGCAGGAGACTTGGGGGTGGTGAACACACAATACACAGATGATGTGTAGAATTGTATTCCTGAAACCTACATAGTTTTATTAACCAATGCTGCCCCAACTAAAAAAACAAAAAAACAAGCTGGGTGGTGAAGGTTATTTTCTGAGACTAAATGAGCAGACAAAAGGGAGAGGGAGAGAGGGCATGGCTCTCCTGCTTGTCTCCCTCCCCAACCCCCAAAACGTCTCTCTCTCTCTCTCTCTCTCTCTCTCTCTCTCTTCCTCCCTCCCTGTCTCTCTGTCACTAATGGATGGGTAATGGTAACAGCTCAATCATTTTAGTAAAACCCATTGATTTCCACCAGCTTTCCCTAAAATGATGCTTTCATGGGAGATACCTTTCTGTATTTTAGAGCAAGCAAACACGATGGTGAGGTATGTTTCTCTCCCCTGTGGCCCCCCGCCCCAAACTCCACTTGGCGCCCACCCTTTCTCTCCTCTCTGAGGACATCACAGGGTCTTCAGGGGCCTCACAGAGGCGGTTCCCATTACAGCGAGGTTTCGAAGGGGTCCCACCCTCACCACCCGGTTACCTCACTTGGGACTCTGTTTCCTCACTGGACAGAGAGCTCCCGCAGGGTGAGTGGCTGAGCCACAGTTCACGTGAGCACCACGAACACAGCAGCACCCCAACACCCACCACCTCTGCTGACCTTGACCTTGAACCCCAGGACCCCAGCTCCGTCCTCAGGTTTAGACGCAGAGACTGGAAAGGGTGAGGCAGGTTCCTAAGGCCCCTAACAGGGGCGTTTTGCTTGGGAAACGGGACCTTCCATTCTTTCTAAAGGTGGCTTTGGGGTCCGGAGAGTCTTAGTGGGGAGAGTGGGGACCCAGGCGAAGGCTCAACAAGTAGGTTTGAACGTTTAACAGAGAAAGGAAGGTGCTGGAGCAAGACCTGAGGAAGTACTCACCCACTTCACTCCTCACCTCCAGAGCCAGGTCCCAACCAGCACCACCTGCAGAGGGTCTTTGGGGAATCCTGGGTGGTTACGTGGCCACAGGCCATTGGCTGCCTCGGGCCATTTCGGGCTGGGAAGGGCGAGGCCCGGTGAATGAGGGGCACCTGCTCCCTGCCGCTGCGTGCACCTCCCCACC